CCCCCCTCCACGCGAGGCCCGTAGGATCCTGCAGCCGAGCGCCCTTGGCTCGGCATCGGAGGTGCCGGCCTGAAATCCCCTTCTGTACCCGGCTTTGGGAAACCTCTGTCAAAAGAGCAGGTTTTTTTTTCTCCGGGAATCCCCCGAGCCCTGCACCGCGGGCCGGGCTCCGCGGGGAGCTCGGGGGCTGATGTTTTCCCTTCCTCCTTTGCAGGGCATGGAGGGGATAAAAGTGTTTTTGCACGAGCGGGAGTTGTGGCTGAAATTTCACGAAGTGGGGACTGAGATGATTATAACAAAGGCTGGAAGGTAAGAGACGGACCGCAGCGGTGGAGAGCGGAGCCTCCCCTTCGCGGGAGGAAGGCGACCCACGCACCCCGCGCCCCTCTTTGTGTCTGTGTGTCTGAATCTGTCCCCGTTTCTGCGGATGTTCGTGGGGAGGCTTTCGCAAACCTGCACGGCTGCGTGCACTTTTGTGTTCGAGTGTCCCCGCGCGCGCATTTCCCAGGCTGCGTGCCTGGAGACACGCGTGGGGAGGTGCCTCAAGCGTGCGTCTGCAGCGGGGCGTGAGACGCGGTGTTTCCGCGCGTGTCTCCACGCACACATAAGGCTCAAGCACAGTCTCTGTCCCCAGCGCCGCGGACGCAGGTTCACTCACGTCCTTTGTGCGCGCTCGCCCGGTGGCCGGGTGGGAGCCCTCCCTGGGCGGATACGGTCAGAAGAAATTGTTTCTTCTGGCTTCTTTCTTAACCAGAACAGTTGGATCGTTAATCCTAATTTCAGGCCTCTGGAAGCTTTCCAGGCAAATGCTAGTTGCAACCGCTTGCCCGAAAGCTAACCTTGTTTAGAGCCGTTCGCTAGGCGATTTCGTTATTATTACTTTAAATTAAAGAAGTAGCTCTGTTCTGTTGTAATTTTTGTAATGCTTTCCCCCTTTTCTAGAGGTTTCTTGTTTATTATATGCATATTGAGGCGAATATATCCAGAACACCCACCCTACCCCTAGTAAAAGTATATGTGGTCTTAAGCTACTGTTTATATACTGATAGCATAGCTCGTTAGATACATAGATGTATCCGTAAATAAATAGCATGCGTATCTAACTGTGTCCAGATACACTTTTCTGTGTGTGTGTGTTTGTCTGCGTGGGTGTGTAGAAAAATATACAGCCTTGCAAATCCAACTTTATTGGGACTGTGTGTAATCGATTCCATGACTGGCTTAGAAAAAGTGATCCAGAGATATTTATATATGAAGGCACACTCTTCTGAGTGCATTTGAGGCGATTTAACACTATCTTTAATATTCATGTGTTGGAGGACTGTTAAACAGAAGAGTGTCTAAGCCGGCGGGACCCAGTAAAACAGTCTCTCAAGTTCTATCAGTAAACTCGGGGCAACTCGAGAGAGGCTCTTTTCGTTGCGATTTTTAAATTAAACAACATACCTACCGTTACTCCAGGGCTCGTCAGAGGAAGGGAGACAAAAATCCACGCACAGAAATAATAGTAGCTTTAAATTGCAAGAGCACAATAAACAATGCAGAGTCAAACTTTCATTTTGCTCTGTCATCTGGCATTTGTTGAGGTCTTCCAAAATTTGCTTGAAGAGGGAGGAGAAAAGTAGAGCTGGCTGTGTAAAGTTTTGCAAATAAATCTATCTCACGGCTTGCCTTCCCTTTGAACGTGTCTGCTGCTGAAAAGATCGATTTTTAAAGGGTATTGCATAAAAGGGGACACGATATAAACAGAAGGGTTGGAGAGGCACTAGGAAAACTGTCTGCATGGAAGGAAGCTAATGAAATTCGGCGTGTGCTGCCCGAAAGCCTCCCACCCCAGCAGCCCCGCAGCCCGGTGCTGGGACGCGCTCTCCGCGCTGACTCCGCTCGGAGAGCTGGGCATGGAAGGACTTCGCGAAAAAGCAGAGTTAACAGAAAGCAGTGCATGAAGGGAGACATAAAACACCTTGCAGCAAATTCACACAGATATTGCAATGGATAGAAACCTCGTCTGGACAGCAATAAAATAGACGTTTACAGTGCAGTGTCTTTGGGGGGAGGGAGGGCACAGATTTCGCCAGACTAGGTACGGGCTAGTTTTACTTATATAATTTTTTATGTTTATCGTTGGAGAAGTCCGAGTTCTTTTTCATGCTGGTCAGGTGTTTTCGATATATACAGATCAATGTTCAGGTGGGATTTGATTTCTTCTTCAACATTTTAGCGCTAAACTCCCACTTTGTTCGTTCCCCCCC